AGCTAAGATTGTGTTTGTTGAAAAATATACACTTATCTCGTGATTTTTAGCCATTTTAGGAGTTAAAGTACTAGGAAAAGCTCTTGTGTAAATGTTTTTTGGTTTGGTTCAGATAATCAGTTGTCTAGCCAAAGTAAGTTCCAGATGTTTACACTATTTTCTGGCCACCATATTGGAGGACTAAGGAGGTCTCCAACATGGTGGCTCCATACTAGGCTCTATAATTTTGTGTGGAACATTTTGATAAATATCTCAACTTTGGGACAACACACACACCTTAAACTTGGAGAACTGCCTTCTTTATTTATCACTTATAATATCACAATTTCTTGACTTTACCCACTGAATACTTTCTGATTTTATTTTTTATTGCGTGACAATGAGCACACTCTATCCTTGGATTAATTACAACAACAAAATACACTATTTAGGTTATTGGGAAACAATCCACCCAATTAAAGCAGCTCAAAATTTCCCTAGGTGCAGTCCGAAAGTAACATTGTGGAAGTACACTTGCCCATGGCTTGTGTTCCCATAGCATTTTCTTGTCCTACCCAAACTTTCAACTGTTTCTACGACTCAAGAAAATCTGAAAATGTTTTTTCTTTTATTTCTGAAGTAAGTCATAAGTGTGGTAACATTAAATACTAATATGTCATCACTCCTAAATGAGTCTTACAAACTGAAAGAGGATCACAGATTGAAAATTTAGGTGTAGTGTTCATGTACCTTTAGGCTATCCATATCTTCTAAGGAGAGTCCTTCACGCTGAGAGAACACTCCAGTGGACATCTTTAGGCTTTTGACATAAATGGTTCCCCTTAGAACAACAATACAAGTAGATCAATTATCATTATTCAGGTTGCATTAATTACATTGTATCCACTACTTTCAAAAAGGTACAAACATGAAAGATGAGAATTAACATTAAATATCTTGTGCATTTCAGTACAACATGTCTGTCTACACCTGACAAAATAGTATGAAAAACTTAAAAGCCTCGGCCAAATGATCGCAACACTTCAATGCAACCCATCACAACATTGTTGCAAGCCTACAAATAATTTTTGTCTATAAGCAGGTCATTTGTCAGGCCAAAGACAAGTTTTGATCTGACAAAAAGCCAGTCTGGTCGGAAAATTTTTTTATGTTGTTAGATATTAAAAATAAGAGACATTTGAGACATTTTGGTCTGTCAGTGTAGACCCTTTGCCAAAATGTTGGTTGCAAATTCGAATTGCTTAAAAGCAAAGTCAATTGAGTGTAAAATTGATACTAGCAACAGAAAGAGGACCTTTACATCAAGTCAGGTATTATTTTACCGTTCAAAATTGACAAATTTACAAACGTTTGTACCCCTAGTTTGCCTTCACTCACTTGACCACACGTGTATTCTGTAGTTTCCCGCGTATCGATATCTCGAGTTTCCCAGAAAACCATGGGAAAATCCTGCGTAGACAGCTTGTCAGTATAAAAACTCACAATAGCATTCAGAGACTTGAAAATTGGCTGAAATTAATTCTTCGACTTCTTCTGAAGGCAAGTTTCCCCTGAAAAGTTTCGGTGTCAATTGAACAAAAAATTTGCGCAATTAGATGAAATTTGAATTGGAAGTGCTCGTGACTGGTGACTAGTCTACAAAGCGTGACTGATTTGAGAATTTGCATGTTTTTCACAAAAACATGTCTACGGCATGGAAACTAATTCAAACTATATTGAATCACAGACTTAAAAACACTTATAAAGAGATATAACTGATTTTTGACCATACGGACTAGAAAAACATTTGGTTACGTTTTAGAGGTTTTAAAGTTTTTGAAAGCGATTGCATTCAGATAAAAGAAACGTGAGAATTTGGGCTGTGTATCCAATTTGCATAATGTTTCAATCGGGTCAAATTACAACTAGAAATTAATTCCACAACACTTGCAGATAACAAACTACAAGTAACATAAGAACTCAGATTTTATTAGTTTTTCAGACAAACATAATTCAGACTAAATGGGGCTTCACGAGCTGTTCTTAACATGAAGCTTGACTGGTAGCAATGATGTGGCGTGTTTACAATTCGACGTGACATTTGAGACGATGCACTGCGCGCGATGTGATAACAAAGCTTTTTCTGTAGTATTGTGTGGCAGTATAATAAAATAACTTGTTTCATATTCAGTCACAAATTTCCAGTTAAAATATTTTTCGTTTAGCAGAAAAGCCCAGTCAGACTGTCCGACCAGACTAAGCTTTTACCTGTCAAAACCTCAAATTTACCAGGCAATTGTCCGATGACCGACTGTTATTTGCAGGCTTGTTGTTGGCTCAATATCTGCAAGCCCGGCCAAATGGTCGCAACGTTTCAGCGCAACACATCTCAACATTGTTGGGGGCAACACGTTGTGTGCATTTGGTCACTTTTTCGCGATATGTTGGGTGTTGCAAATTGAACTAGTGTGCATGCCCTGGTGCAGCATTGTTGCACAAAACTGGCCAACTGACTGTACAAAATCATGCAACATCCACAAATGTTGCATGAAAAATTTGACCACTTTCAAACTTGAGCCAACAACACTCTAGATGTTGCAACATGTCACAACAGGGTGGCCAAACACCTGCAACATGTTGTGCCAACAATGTTGCAATATGTTGCATTGAAATGTTGTGATCATTTGGCCAGGGCTTACCATGGTAACTTGTGTGCATAAACTCTTAAATTGCTATATACACCTGACAAAATCTTATGGTAGATGTGCTGTGCATGCAGTCATATTTTTAGTTTCTCATTCATAATGCCATTTGAGCATGTCAAAGTTGGACCAGCAAGAAAAGTAACAAAGTTCACCAGCAACATCATAATGTAAGAGGACTATGACTTCGAAATCACTATTCAATTGCTCTTACCTTGGCTTAAAAACGGCATTTGCTCCTGGAAAAGGAAAAAAAACAGCAAGATATTTTATAACTTAAAAAACATATTTTTTGCATCAACAGTCTGAACACATCTACGTATCAACATAGAAAAATTACCTTTTAACAACATACATGTACTCTTATTACTGTAACTACATTGTATCAGAAATCCAAAACTTGGGGTTTACAGTGTACAATTAATTTTTCCATTGTGTGTTTCACTTGGCAACAGTTTGGCAGGAAACTACCCTGTCAAGGTATACTCGGGAGTTTGGTCCCGGGACCACTACCAACAGCAATTGTAAAGCCCTGGCTAGAACCCTGAATAAGCCTGCAAATAAAGGGCTATAATGGCAATTTGACTATAGAAACTAAAGAAACCTTATGCATCCCACAGCACAATGAGACTTGACTTGTATGATCTCCTGATTATCAAAGATGAAAGACCGTGCTTGACCGCATTTCCAAACACAGTTTAGAAGAGAGTTGAAAAAACGACACATAGCACAGTATTTTTGACGAACTTTGAGTTAATTGGAAATGTAGACAAACATGGTCTAGAGTGCTAGATATGTACATTGTACAATCAATCTTGTCAATCAAAACAAACACTAAGGAGAAAATGGAAAAATATAATCATAAAACATCTATGCTTATCAAGACCAGGTATCCAAACACTATGAGGTTCAAGATTTCCTTTATTTACTTGTTTTGGATTTTTCAGAAAAGTAATTGAGAAGTCAACCCTCCACGTTGGAAGCATTTTAGTATCCATGGTGACTAGAATTTTGGAGTGTTGTGAATTCACTTGTAAAATAAATTATTCTGCCATCTTAATCTACTGAAATTCAGACTAAAGAAAATGAAACAAAGAACCATCAAGAGAAAGAACGAATTTGCATTGCTTCGTATGTGACGAACTTCGTTTCACTTGACTGATCTTTACCTTTGAGAGTGAGGCAATGGACACACACAGTTTCTGCACCTTTGATACACTGATGTAGAGTTTGGTTTTACACCATGAAACTGGAAAATGTTCGCCAAAAATTGCACAGCACTTTCAGAGGATTTTCCTACCGAACACACCTATTTTTAACCGTGGAGAGAAATTTAATAGGAGCAGATTTTCATACATGCTAGGTAACCTGCAAAAATGCATCATGCAATCAACAAAACAATGCTATAATTTGTGATTTTCAAGATGTTTATCTCAACTTTTGGATGTCCATGAACCTAAAACTTACTTTTTGTTTCAAACTCATTAGCAAAAATTTAGTTGGAGGACGGCATGCCTAGGCTATTACCCAAGGTGCAAGTGAGCAGAGAATGTTACCTGCCCAAGTGGAAAATGTACCTGTCCCATACAAGCCGAAGGGTTTTTTTTCAGCCTTGTTCAGATACGTTGGATAACACTTTCCATCATCGATCTCTAGAGTTGCTACTTAGTATAATCTGCACCATCTACACTTGTGTCTTTTTCTGTAGATGCGAATTAAAACTTGCAATATTTCTGTGTGTTTAAATTTTCTTTTCATGAGAAAAAATTTAATGGTAGTAAATCACACATACTCAAGCTTTTTGGTGCGAATATTTCACAACTAGCTCAGTATCTTTGTGTGAATGGTCAGTAGATTGATATAAGATCTCATTACCATTATTGCCTGTTCTTGTTGGCTTTTTTCTACCTGCTGCTTACACCTTTTCTGTTCAGTTAGTTGAATGAGTCACTTTAATTGCCCAACAAACTTAGCAGAGGTCAGAAAGACCTGTTACCGGTAAATCTTCAAAAGGAAATTACTGTGATTTAATACGGTCATCAATAATAAAAATATATTATTTGAACTACTTTTTATTGACCTAGCTTAGGGATAGCATATTAATTAGTTATTATTTATTAATTAATACATTAATTAGTTAATTGATATTGATGAAGTAATTAATTTTT